TCTTGATGTGGGAGCGTGGAGATCTGTCTGCCTGGACAGGGACTGGATGGATTAGCAGGAGTGGTGTCAGCCCAGAGAACTAAGGCCAGCCTGGGAAGAGGCTGCTTGGGGCTCAGGGACCCTGTGGAAGCAGCAGGGCTGGCGTCTCTTCCCACTGTGATGTCTTCCCACGTGGGCCGGCTACCTCAGCTGTGCAGGAGCCGGCCTCCTTGGAGCAGAGCTGCCCAGTGCCTGTGGGTGCCTGCAGGTGCTTGGTAAACAGCCAGGCCCAGGATCCTTTTTTTTTTTTGCACTCCAAGCTGGAGTGCAGTGGCTTGATCTCAGCTCACTGCAGCCTCTGCCTGCCAGGCTCAAGTGATTCTCCTGCCTCAGCCTCCCGAGTAGCTGGGATTACGGGTGTGCGCCACCACACCCAGCTAATTTTTGTATTTTTAGTAGAGACAGGGTTTCACAGTATTGGCCAGGATGGTGTCGAACTCCTGACCTCAGATAATCCACCTGCTTCAGCCTCCCAAATGCTGGGATTCCAGGTGTGAGTCACCGTGCCCAGCCCCAGACTGCTCTTAAAATCATCCCAGGACACAGATGGGGGTCAGGCCGGCCTCACTCACGGGAGAGGTCCCAGAGGGAGGTCACAGAGTCCAGGCCCACAGAGCTAGGGGGCTGCTGGGTCCCCTTCCCACTGCAGGACATGCAGCAAGGCTGGAGCCTGGGGCAGGGTTCCCCTCACCCTGAGGCTCACATAGCCCGCCCAGCCTGGTTCAGCGTGGGTATAGCTCAGGCTCCAGGGAAGGGCGGAAGTGGACAGGCAGTGCCCTGGGGCTGCACTCCTGAGATCTGTTGGTACCTTGGAAAGATTCTCTGCTTGCTGTCGTCTGCATGTGCCCCGTAACACTGGAAGGAGTGAAGAGGATGTAGAGAAAAGTACTGCGTTTTCCTTTTCCCTCCTTCTGAAAGGCCTGGGCCCTGGCATCTCTGTCCCCATCCCTGTAGGCCACAGCTGTGTGCTGGCTCTCCCTGCCCTGCCAAGGTAGAAGCAGTCTCCGTGTTTCAGGCTGTGAACCGGACCTCTTGAGATACGTGCTGTAAACGCTCCTTTATCCTGACATCCCGGCCCTCAGTGCCGTAAAGCCGCTCTTCCCCACTAGCTAGCCTTTACGTAATGGAGCACAATGTATTTTTATTCTGTCCTCTTCACAGCTGCTTCCTGTGATTCCAGGAGGAGGCAGGTGTGGGGCTAAGGTGGTGAGGGGGTAGCTGTTCAGGCACCAGCGTCATGGATGCCTTTGGCCCCCTGCGACGCCCCACTGGGCCGCACCCTAGGCAGCCGCCGCCGCGTCCTCTCTGACTCCCACTTGAACACCTGCTGTTCTCCTTCCTCTCTTGCCCCTCATCGAGGCCTTGAGAACCCATCAGCACCAGGCGTGTGCCCCTGCGTCCCTGCAGGGTGGTAGCAGGTACCTCCTAGAGGTAGCAGGGGTCCCAGGGGTGTGGAGGAGGGGCCCGAGGAGGGCCGGCGTCCAGGCAGAGGGGAGCTGCTGCTTCCTAGGCAGGTGCTCCTGTTCCGTGTGGCCAGAGTTCAACATCCCCGGGCAGGGAAGCCCACCTTCCACCACAGCCAGGGCTGTGGGTGGGCTGGGCTCAGGGCCTCCTTGCGGCTTGGCTCTAAGCCTGGGGTGACTCTGGAGGCCAGTGGGGAGGGCCTAAAAGCCTTGGTGGGGCCACCCCAGAGAGCAGGGCTGCAGAGCTGGGCTCCATCCCTGAGCACCCCTGGCACCGCAGGCCATGAGCACACAGCAGGCCGGGCTGGGCGGGGGACGGGGGCCTGGAGCGCTGCAGTCCGCACCACTGCCTCGCCTCAGCCCATGCACTGCTGTCGCACGTCGGGCCTGAGAACAGCCTGGGCGGTGCCTCTGTGGTCCTAGGGCCAGGGTCGGGCACAGGGCTGTCGCTTCTCACCCTGGGGGTCTCGGCCACTGGCTTCTGGGGTCTCTGAGAGGAGCTTGCCCAGGATCCAGGTCCATAGAACCCCGTCCAGAGGAACCCCGGGCTCCTGGCTCACTTTGGAGGAGACCACGTGAGAGCAACCGGCAAGAAAGCAATGACATCCCCGAGACAGAAAACCCATCTTTTATTTATTTTATCCAAACCATTGTGTGAATTATTCATTCACGTTTATGTAAGCCACTGAACTACAGGGATAAAGGGGGGTCAGAACGCTGGCTTGATCTGCCCCAAGCTGAACCGACTCCGTCGAGGCAGCCTTGTCTGGAGGATGGACCCTTCCCTACCTGGACTGGAGACCAGGGTCAGGGCCACCTCGCTTCCGAGGGTCTGTGTGGCATGGAGGACGGACCCTTCCCCTCCAGGGCCCTGGGTTTGGCTGTCAGAGGGCGAGAGAGTGGCGGCAGGAGTGAATGCGGCGGTCCCCGCTGCTCCCAGCTGTATGGGTGGTGGTCTCGCCTCTGAGAGGGGGCCCCACACACCACCTTCCTCACCCTGGGACCTCATGCCAACCTGCCATGGGTGGGCCATGCAGCTGGGAGCCCCGGAGCTTCCAGAGGTCTGTGAGCGGCACAGGCGGCTTTGAGGTCTATCGGAAAACAGGGCTCTTTCCTCCTCCAAGGTCAGGCTGCATTTATTACCAAAATCTAATTCTTCCCCTTTGGACGTCTGAGATCTATCAAAGGCAGCATGAGCCGTGTTAGAGTGAAATATGGCCTCTGAAACGTGGTCTCTGCGTTCTTCCTTCCGCACGTGGGAACTCCTGCTACCGACAGCCCCGTCTTCGGGAGGGTCAGCCGAGGGACGCAGGGAAGAATATTGGGGTCAGAGCTGCCAATTAACCTTCAGATTTCGTCGCCTGATTCATCAAGGGCCCCGGGCCTCCTCCTGCCGGAGGGGCAGGGCTGTGGAATAACAACGTCCCCCAGGGCCGTCTTTGCCGGCGACGGAGGGAGGAGGCCAGGTCGGGGCCAGGGCCGAATCAGTGCCGAATCAGTGCCAAGGCTGCCATCCCACAGGTGGACGGGCGCCAGGGCCCCTCTGCTGACAGGCCCGCGGTGGTACAGGCCCCGTCTCCTCCCAGTCCCTGACATCCGGATGCCACTAACATGGGCCCTGCACTGCTGCTCCTTCCAGAACCCATGGCAGGCGGCGCCCTTGCTCTTGCAGCCAAGCGGCGAATCTCTGTGAGCCTGAGTGTCCTCGTGTGTGGACTGGGGATTGGATCGTGTTCGTAGCTGTCACAGCCAGGCGGTGAGTGCATTTGCACACGGAACAGGCTGCTCTACTGAGCTCACGCCGTCGGGGGTGCCCAGCGGCCCTGCACTCTCGGCAGTGGCCTCCAGTGCGTGATCTGGCTCACTGCCTCTGAAGGCAGCTGCCTGCCTGTGTCCGTGTTGCAGACAGAGGACCTGGGAGATGGGGTGAAGGGGTAGGTTCAGGGTCACAGGTCGAGGAGGCAGAGCCGAGCTGGACCCGCGGCCCCTCCCGCATTCTCCATCTTTCTCTGTAGACTTCAGGGCTTCTCGTTTGCACTTGGCTCCCCTGTCCCTGATCATCTCCAGGAAGCAACCTGGACTGCATCGTCTGCCTTAAACTGGCCCATCAGAGCCTCTTCTGGCCGCTGTACACAAACTCCCCGGCAGCCCCTCCCTCACTCGCTGTGACCTGGCCAGCAGTCACTCACATGTGTACCTTTCCTCACACTCCCCCAGAGTGGGCTGTGGGGGACCCCACACCCGTCCTGGGGCCTTCAGACTCATCTCTAACTCAGGACCAGCCTTCCCCCGGGCACTGCCTGGGGTTGGAACCCTTGTTCTCTCCAACCTTGTGGCTATGGTTGACTTTAATATCCTCTTTCTCAGCCCAGCCAGGGAGCTGACCATCCTGTGCCTGGATGCGGGTACCTACACCAGTCCTGTGATTCAGTCCCTCGTCAGGGTGGAGGGAGGCTGGCAGCTGGCCCATCTCCTGTGACCTGCAGGATAGGGTTCACCGGGCTCCCGGCCCCGCCTGGAGTGGTCCCAGGCCCCTGGAGGGCTCCCCAGCGCCAGCTCCAGACAGCACTGCTGGGAAGCACCCAGCCTAGGGGACGGCTCTGTGTGCATTTAAGTGGAGCCAGTCCTAATAATTAACGGTGAGGATAAATCGAGGTTTAATTACTTGGAAGGCCTTTCGGGTGAGAGATTCATGATAATCGCTGTTATCCTCCTGATGGCTCTGCTCAGTAGTTCCTCCCCAGGCAACCGTAAACCCTGGCGGCGGGGGGCGGGGGTGGGGCGCAGGACTGTACCCTGAATGGTCACTTAGAGCCATGTTGGGGACAGTGGGCCTGGGGGTGCCGGCTCTCGTCTCACGAGTGACCTGGCCTCAGAGGTGGCTGGCAGGTAAAGCCCCGGGGCAATAGGATCCGGAATGTCCAGGTGGCTTCCTGCCTGCCTCCCCGTTTCTCGGTGCTGGCTCCTGCGGGGAAGGTGTCCAACCCCAGAAAGGACCCAGGCAGCAGCCTGGGAACAGATGGTCAGGATCGCTGGGTGGTGTGGCGGCCCAGGCCTTCACTTTGGGACCCACATCCTCAGCAGCAGCTACTCTTCAGGTTCTCGCCTAAGTCGCTGGAGCTTTGGGGCAGGTGCGCCCCTGAGTCATGCCTGATCCTGCGGCTTCCTGGCAGTGATTGGGTGGCTCCAGGTGTCATTCTGCCGGCTGAGGGCTGGTCCCTCCTGGGCTGCTCGTAGTCTGGCTCTCAGAGTTACCGTTCTTAATGCAGTAACTTTATCATCACCACCACCAGAGGATCAGCCTTTATCAGCTCACCCCTCACTCATTCTCTCATGCGTGCCAATGGAGGCTGGCTGGTGTGACATGGGGGCCTCCTGTGTCCCTGGGCAGCCGCCACTCCCGCCTGTACTCAGCCTCCTCCCTGCCCTGGCCACTCCTGGTTCCCCACCCCTCCGGCCGGGTGCTGCACTCACTGTCTCCTTCCCTCCCTCCCGCAGAGCTGAAGAAGCAGGTGGAGAGCGCCGAGCTGAAGAACCAGCGGCTCAAGGAGGTTTTCCAGACCAAGATCCAGGAGTTCCGCAAGGCCTGCTACACGCTCACCGGCTACCAGATCGACATCACCACAGAGAACCAGTACCGGCTGACTTCGCTGTACGCCGAGCACCCGGGCGACTGCCTCATCTTCAAGGTGGGTCCTGTGTGCGACTGTTCTCTGGCTCTGTCTCCTCCCATGGGGAGATCCGACCATAGCCCTCGGCAAAGGAGCAGCTCTGCGAAGGGGATGGTGTGGAGGGCCAGGCAGGAAGGAGGTGCACTGGGCTGTCCTGAGGCTTCACCCCCTGAGGCTTCTCAGCCTTGGGCCAACCCTATGTGGCTTTGCAGCCCTGGACTCTGGGTGTGGAAGGCCCTGGGCCGCTGCGCCGATTTTCTCGGCCTCTGTCTGTCGCAACTTGGGCTTCGTTCCACAAGGGCTGTGGCCGCAGGCGTGTGTCAGTGTGTCCAGTGGCAGCAGCGCCTGGGGAGGACTGAAGTCCATGTGGGGCCGGGGCAGGGGTGCCTTCCAAGCCACCAGGCTGCGCGGCGGGACAGCAGCCAGAGGCCAGCACAAGGCAAGGTAGACAGACTAGAAGAGGAAAGGAGAGCCGGGAGCCGGCCACATCTCCACACCCTCGTCCTGTGAGCCAGCAGGCGCTCTTCTGGTTTGCTGGTGCAGCAGGACTGGGTCCACCGTTGTGGACATGAAGAGTCCTCGGGTGAGCAGGGTCTGGTAGCAGAAATCGAGGTGTTACATGTTGACCCTCAGGGTGGCGGTGGCCCCATGTGGACCTCCAGCAGCTGGAAACCCAGGGTGACAACGGCTTGTTCATCACTGCCCCAGTGAGCTAACCTCCCGTTTGTGAAGATGGTGCCGTCGACCTGGCGTGGCATTGTGGCCCCGGTGAGGCCTCGCGGCCCCGTCTTGGCATGTGGCTGCTTCAGGAAGGTTGGAGGGGGCGGTGGCTGTGGGAGGTCAGGACAGGCAGAGACGGGCCCCACCTGGGACTGCTATGGTCTGGAACGGGCGTCTAAACTGCCCGCAGTCTGCAGCCTCTGCGTGTCTTTATAGAACCGAAAACCAACTTTGATTTGTACAAAAGCTGTACCCAGTGCGGCCTACGCATGTCCGCCAGCCTCTCCCAGCAGCGAGCCGCTACCTGTCTGATTCAGCCTTAGCCCGGCGGTTCCTCCTCCTCCTGCACAACCCGCCTGTCTTCACAGCCTGCGCCGCTCTGGGGCCCTGCGCCGGGCTTGCTCTGCGCTCCTTCTGGATTTCCCGCTTCTCAGATCACATTCATCCATTTCTACACGCGTGAAAGTCTCAAAGCTTTGAATAATAAAAACACACCAAGTCTTTAAATAAGCTATCAGAAATGTACTTCTTCGCTTTTGTATAATTCTGTATACTTTGAATAATTCACAGAGGTGTTTAATGCATTATAGAAATTCCATGGGTTTTGAAAATGATTAGTATTAATAAAGGCGTATCACGAACCGTCATCACTTAACACATCACTTGTTACATCAACATTTACAAATTAGGAGGCGGTGTTTCCCCGGATCCCTGCATGTGCTGTAGTTGAAGCAATGATCTTAGGAGGACCAACTCCAGCAGAACCTTGGGGCGCCCTCCACAGTGTTTTCTATTTAGAGTGTCGAAAATTCCAAAGAGGGACGCAAGCCAGTCGTCATCCTCCCGCGAAAGGCAGCCGCCGTCCCGCTTTGCTGTTTCCTTTTGGTGTTCTATACATAGGCACGTATGTAGGCATGTTCATTTACACCTGGGAACTCAGGATCCTGGGGTTCCATTGTGTGTGCTCCTCTGTTACTTTTAAAAAACCCCGTTAGCAAGTAGTTCCTTGGCCCCTGTCAGCCCCGTGTGGGCTTCTGAAGCACACCCCTGCCTGGTGTCCTCAGGTTTGCTGGACACCAGGTCCATCCCCGTCATACCCTCGAGCACGGGCCCTGCCGCTCTCCCTGCTCAAGCCAGCATCTCAGCTCCCTCGGCCCTCATCCCGCCCCCCAGACCCCGGCCATGGCAGGATGCTGAGAGCAGAAGGCTTGGGCCGGCCTCAGCTTGCCAGTGGCCGGACCTTCAGCCCCCACAGCCTGGGCGGGACCTTCAACCCTCGTGGCCTGTACGGGAACCCCTGCCCTCCTCCCTGCCTTGGAGCCCTCTTAGCCCCCAGGCTCCTGAGGTCAGGGAGAGACAGGAAGGGGGCCCCAGGAGGAGGCAGGCAGGCAGCAGAGAGCCCAGGAGCTGGCCAGCTCGCTCCAGGCCTGAAGGACACACAGCGTACAGGAGGCCTGGCTTGCCCTGAGGAGCCGCGGCTCCTTCAGGGATCTGGCCTGGCCCCTGCAGCTCTTGCCAGGTGTCCCGCCTCCCTTCCTAGACCCTTGTGATCTGGAGCCTTGGCGCCCTCCCAGGCCACCCCCTCACTGCCCATCTTCCAGCCCTTGCTGTCCCTTCTTTCCAGTGGCAGGCCTGGCCTGACCTGACTTTCTGGACCACAGCCTGTCCTGGCCCAAGGCCTGTGTGAATATGTCTTTGCAGGCCCTGTGAGGGCTGGTTGTGCTGGGTCAGGAGGCACGGAGCTGAGGCAGCCGCCTCCAGAAGGACAGACGGGCCACTGGCCCAGCACTCCACCAGCAAGGCCTGGTGCCCACAGTGGCCCTGCTCCCCACCCTCCTGGCTGCCCACCATGCCTGCTCTGGGCCCTGTCCCGGGGGCTCGCATGGGTGGACAGTGTCAGGGAATGAGGTTGCTTTCAGCTGACCCGCTTTCCCCGTGTATGACATGCACTGTGTTTTCATGCTTGAAGCTCACAGGATCGGGGAGATTAAGAAAAGGATGGAAGGGCTTTACAAGTTGGTATTTGCAGACAGGGCTGAGAGCTCTGGGGTGGGCCTGGCAGGGGGATCTCTGGGCAATCCAGGCAGGGGGCTGACTGAGGTGAGCGTGTGGGCTGGTGCCCAAGCACAGCTGTTGCCAGCAGGGTGCCGGCTGGGCCTCTGCCTCGTCTGTAAAGCAGGCACAGTTATGTCTCACCCGCAGGAGTAAGTGGGGCCATGTTCCTGGCACACCGTCATGGTTGCCGAGACCCCACCTTGGTCCATCATTTTCATTTCTGAGCAGTGAAGTCCCTGCAGGCAGAAGCTGCCAACTTGTGCCTGCGTTTCTCCCTAGAACCCCAGCGCCAAGGCCCACCGGCTCCGTCCTCTTCACCTGGGCCCAGCTCGCTTGTAGACACCTTCTCCAGGAAGCCCTCCTGGGTTCCTCAGACGTGGGACCCCTTCTTCTGCTGGCTCCCCTCCTAGAACACCTGCCACCTTGTGCTTTTCCTGACAGGCAACTCTGCCAGAAGTTTTATTCTGTTGGGTTAGTTGTCCCTTGAGGGTCCCCAGGGGACCTAAGCATGCCCCTCCTGTGTTTCTCCCCCACTGCTGGGTGCCTGGTTTTTAAAGATGCTTCTTGCTCCATTTCTCTCTCAGGCTTCCTTTCACAGCCTCTTTCCCCTGGCCTCACCCAACCCCCACCCTCTCCTCCTGCTCTTCCTCCTCCCCCTCCACTCCTCCTCCCACTCCAGACTCTGTCCTGCCCAGCCCACGTGCCTTGCTGGCAGTTGTGCCCAGCACCCCTCTCGCCCCCTCCCCTCTTTGGAGGGCTGGGGCCTCCCAGACCTTCCTGCGCCCCATCTGATTAACGTGGAGGGATCTCCTGCTGGAAGGATCTGGGCCTCTAGAGCATGTTCATGAGGGCTGACACTGGGCACACAGCCTCACCTCCCCAAGTGTCAGTCTCCTCACCTGTTGAGTGGAAGTAACTGCGGCTCACTTCAGAGGCTGTAGGAGGCGAGTCTCGTGTCACCTGTAGAGCGGTCATGTTGCACCAGGATCCCTGTTGGCTGGTTCAGCTCCAGCCCACGGTGCACCCGTGCTTCTCACAGAGCTGTGATCCTGCAACCCTGCCTGCCATCCCCAGAGCCACAGGATAGCTCTGCTGGCCCTCGCTCGGCGTCCTGGTCCCTGCAGACCCTCTGGACGACCTGCAACGCTCGAGCTTTCAAAGACTCCCTGTGAGCCTACTTCCGGAGTCCTCCGAGCTGCCCTTCACTGGGTGAGGCCGTCGGCCTCCTGAGAAATCCTCCCCCTTGGGTGCCAAGAGCTGCCGAGTCCTCTGGCAGGAGCTCTGACCACGAGACCAGCATCGGTCCTGCCCCATCCACCTGTCATTCCTGCCTCCTCTGTACCCAGGACACCAAGCTTGGTGACAGGAGAGGCACTCGTGCTGTTCACGGCTGCCCCACGCCCCCAGCTCAGGGCCTGGCTTATGGAGAGGGCGCTCTAGGGCTCTGCCAGATAGACAGAAAAACAGGTTTCAGGGGGGAAAAAGGGAAGAGATAAACAGCGAACAGACAGCAGCCAACCTGTAGGGCCAGGGCTCATGTGGGCATCTCTGCCTGCAGATGGTCACTGACTCATCAGGGCCATGCAGGGGTAGCCCCGGTCTCCACTCTCCAGAGGAGAGAGAAGAGACACTCTGGAGTCACCTTGTCCTGGCCAGCTCCTGACCCTGGTGTGCAGCCTTGGCGAGGCCACTGTGCTCCCGTGAGACTCAGTTTCCCCGTCTCATGAGGAACGTGCTCTAGGTGCTCCCTGGGGGCCCTGACCCTGGCCTCCTGGCTTCAGAAAGGCACCCCCAGGGCACTGAGCATCACGAGGTGCACCCAGAAGGGTCTGCCCCGAGCTGCCCTCCTGAGATAGGGCCACGGAGGGCAGAGGCCAGTGTGGGAGGGCAGGGAGAGCAGGGAGATAGGCCCCCCTGCCCCACCCTACCCCACCTGGGAGCGGGCATACGTGGCTCCTATGTTCCTGAGAGATCCTGCCAAACCCCAACCTCCTGGCCACGTCATTCATTTTATCTGATTTTCCCCCAAATGATTCTTCAGGCAGAAAGGGGGCTGCAGACGGAGTTAGAAATAGCCAAGCCTGTTTCCAGTCGAGCGGGTTCCACAGATGTGTGCTGGGATAATTGAGGGTTTGCCACACCGTCCCCCGCCGCTTCGCCGAGGAGAATAGGGCTTCCCGTCCCAGCCAGGACCAAGCCTCTTGTTGCCGCGTGGGTGGAGGGAGCTGCCTGCCCAGGCTGCC